CACGGAGAACATAGAGAACACGGAGAACGTGGGGAACAACGAGAACATGAAGAACTCGAAGAACATGAAGAACATGGAGAACACGAAGAAGATGGAGAACACGAAGAACATGAAGAACACGGAGAACATGAAGAACACGGAGAACATAGAGAACACCAAGAACATAAAGAACACGGAGAACACGGAGAACATAGAGAACATAGAGAACACAAAGAACTCGAAGAACATGGAGAACATGAAGAACATGGAGAACATAGAGAACACGTAGAACATAGAGAACACGTAGAACATAGAGAACACGGAGAACATAGAGAACATGGAGAACACGAAGAACACGGAGAACATGGAGAACATGGAGAACATGGAGAACACGGAGAACATAGAGAACACAGAGAACACGGAGAACATGGAGAACACAAAGAACATGGAGAACACAGAGAACATGGAGAACCCGGAGAACGTGGGGAACAACGAGAACATGAAGAACTCGAAGAACATGAAGAACATGGAGAACACGAAGAACATGGAGAACATAGAGAACATGAAGAACATGGAGAACATAGAGAACATGAAGATCAAGGAGAACATGAAGAACATGAAGAACACGGAGAACATGGAGAACACAGAGAACACAAAGAACATGGAGAACACGGAGAACATGAAGAACATGGAGAACACAAAGAACATGAAGAACATGGAGAACATGGAGAACAGGAAGAACCTAAAGAACATGGAGAACGTGGAGAACAGGAAGAACCTAAAGAACATGGAGAACGTGGAGAACAGGAAGAACCTAAAGAACATGGAGAACGTGGATTCCATAGTTACCTCCTTACAGTAATACTTTTCCTGCCTCTGACTCTCCTTCTGTTTCCGACACGTCTGGGAGCACACGGACACAATAGCGTCACTGGCCATGGAGGACGTCCATGACACCAATGCGGACGTAGAGTTCAGAGTTCTCACCGTCACATTCTTTGGTTTTTCTGTCAGTTCCTCAAACCATTTTCCATCCGGAGCTTAAAGGGGAACAGGAGAAAATTCTGAGAGATACAACAATGTCCTCCGAGATCTTCACCCAACCTTCCGATAGGAAAAAGAATCAACCCAACCGCAGACCCCAGACATGGATGTGTCAGCCCAATGCCAACAGAGCGCTCATGTGTACTGACATCTGTACAATGAAGACTGACGGGTAATTACCGTGTACACAGAAGTCAGCCTCCACCATGATTGGGTCTCCCAGCACCATGAGCCTCCACCATGATTGGGTCTCCCAGCACCATGAGCCTCCACCATCATTGGGTCTCCCAGCACCATGAGCCTCCACCATGATTGGGTCTCCCAGCACCATGAGCCTCCACCATTATTGGGTCTCCCAGCACCATGAGCCTCCACCAT